ATTTTACTATGTATTCCATTAGAACAATGGGTGAGATTTAACCGAATTATAAAGAACCAAAATGAAAGGGAAGCTCAACGATACGACCACGAGTGACGAAATTGGTAATTGAACATATTTTATAAATGTATTTAAAAAGAAATTAATGAAGAATCAATTAAATGGTGATTATTTATTAAGAAGAAGAAGAAAAAAAAGGGGTCCAAAACTTGGGAAGATTGCAAATGAATAAATATAAAATATTTGCTTCCACTATATAGAATTAGACCCACACATAGAAATCATAAGAGAGAGAGAGAGAGGAAAAAAGGGGGAGAGCCATTACATGACATAGAACACTGATCGGGAAAAAGATCAAAATCAGATCAGGAGGATGAAGATTAAGAGATCAATGAGCGGCGCCACCGCTGACCATGCCGGAGATGTAGGGGATCCCGGTGGGCTTGATCCAACGATCTCCCAACAAGAACCGCCCAGCGGTGTAAGATGCGGCGTGCTGTGGTGTAATGTTCTTAATTCCACGCCACTTCACTCTCTTGGACTTATCGGACCCGGGTCCGTTGTTGTTAACCTCGCTGTAGAAACATGTCTTGAGGCCCCAGTCCCCGTTCCATGGCAGCCACCCCTGTGGATCGATCACATTATCAATGTAAGAGTCCATGATGAGCGTCCTTGAGTACTCCTTCCACGGTCGCCCCAAGAAGGATCTGTACTGTTTCTTCACTGGCTCTAGGTCCTTGTCGGCCTTGATGGTGCATTTTTGTATTATCAGCGCGGATGGCTGGCGGCGCTCCTTTCGCCCGTGGGCTGTTACGATGCACTGCTGGTTCGGCAACGGCTTGCGGACGAGGAACGTGCAGCCTTGGAAGACTGCAGCCGCATCGCCGAAGACGAAGTCGATGGTGCCTGACACGACGCAGTCACGGTAGAACTGCCTCATGGTGTGCACGTAGAGAGTGTCTTGGTATGCATGCATGGCACAGTTATAGAATATCACCTTGTCGGCTTGGACTCTCAACGCCACTGCCTGGTGCTTCTCCGGCCCGGCTGTGTTCTCAATCCCGATGTCTCGTGCAATGAAGTCTTCAGCAGTAATCACTACCAACCAAAATCATAAGAGGAGAAAGAAAACAAATCCAAAACAAATCCAGCCAGTATTTTAGACTATACACCTGCTGGAACATTTTAAAATTATTAAGACTAAATTGAAACGCACCAACGGTGGCAGTTTTGAAGGTGGGAATGCCGTCGACGAAGTTCTTGTTTCCGGTGATAATGGTCTTGGTGGGGCCGTCGCCGATGAACATAAGTTTGGTCATAGTTTTGTTGACGGTAATGTATTCCTTGTAGACACCTTGTTTGATGTAAATCACGTAGACGCCCTTCCTTTTCTTTGGAACTTTGTCCAGCGCATCCTGGATGGTGCTGTACTTCCCGCTCCCGTCCTTGGCCACCACCGCGTTTGGCTTGATACTCGCCGGAGAGGCAGCAAGGAGCCG